AGTCATAGACTTTCATCTGATATGGAAGTTTTGCCTGTGAAAATCCAAAATAAGCTTTTTTTTTTTTTTTACTTTTGGTACTTTAACTAAGTGCTCCAAGTGTCTCTACCCTCTGTTTGCCAGAAGCCTGGAGTAGATGAAAGGCAATGGGTCAGTTGAGGATTGCCTGTTCTGTTCATTCCCTCCAAAGCACTGGCATCAGCCACTGTCAGAAGTCAGGATACTAGGCTAGATGGACCATTGGTCTGACCCAAAATGGCCATTCTTCGTTGTTGTGCTAAATGCGAACCTTGGCAGTACTTCAAACCTTTCAAATCTCAAAAGCAGGAATTTTACAGTGTATAAGAGGAAAGCAGTCGATGCATCACTAGCATCTTCCTGAAGCTCTGTGATGCAGTTGTGTTTCTGCTATCGCCATGGTGCATCACAGTGCCTCATCACAGAAGGGTCCATGGCAATACACTGTGCAGCTTTATTTCCAAACTACCATTTTTAGGTGGAATTTGCTTTCAAGGACTTTTAAGCATCTAAACTGACATGAAATATGGTTCTCTGTCACTAAGCACATTGTTATGGAGACTTAGGCTATCCCCATTTATTGCACAGTTCTCAGGAACTGAAACATGATCACACCCTAAAATCAGTTTATTGGAGGTGTGTTTGTTGTTTAAAACTTGGAATTGTTTTGTAGAGCCTAGAACACAAGCCACATAAAAGAGGTGGAAGAAACTGAACAAGGCAGAGAAGGAAGAGCAAGAGAGGTAAAAAAACAGCAGTGGCCCAAGATGGAGGGGCATATTTTCCCTAGGAATAATACAGAAATTGATACTACAGTGCTTCATAAATACAGTAAGAGTAAACATTTCATTACCTCAGGAATGGTCAAATTCTAACCTTAGTCTGTCCGCTGACATTAGAGATGTGCTTTTGTGGATGGAGGGGGCTGTGGAGTCCTGAATTTATAATCTCAGCCCATGGTCCATGACTGAACGGAAAGTGGAATTTGGCCAGTTATTTAATCTTTACTTATATGGTACAGGTTTTGACAGTTTTTGAATTTTTTCATATCCTGCTTTGGAGATAACGTAAAAGTGACAAGGGAACACAAAGAGCTACATGATGATTTTTAAGAACTAGTAGAGTTACAGTTAAAGGACAAAATGATCTATAGGGGAACAAACACATTAGCTTATTTTGTTTGCATTGGCATTAAATTATATAGTAATTATTCGGTTACCAATGAAGTGTGATCTAATGGCAGATATAGAGCTGTTTTTCAGACATTGCATTATAGGGTCCTCATCCAGCTGGAACACACCCTAGCCATTTAGTTACTCGACCGAAAAATAAAACCGTAGTGCCTCTTATTATCTGCCTGGTTTCAGAAGATTAGACTGTGGTACTGAGATTTACTAGACCTTCAAATGCTATTTCACCATGCCACATATATAGGATTTCCCCCCTCCGTGCTATTAGCACCTTGCTGAGCAAGGTTGAATAGCATTTTTAAGGGTATGATTTAACAGCTAACTTTTCACGTTTCTATTGACTTTCCATCTTGTATTGGCGGATGCAAAATACACATGAGAATTGGGGGACTTTTATGGATGAATGAGGAGGGAATTTGTGTCTCAATTGATGAAGTTGTCTACACTGGGGATTTGCCCCAATACCCGCCAGAGGCTGCCAGACAACTACAACTACTTTGGTAAAGAACTCCACAGCTGGGATTTCCAGTCCTGAGAATGCTGTGCTCCCTAGCTCTGGGAGTCTTAGTTTGGGCCTGCCTAGTGGAAGCCTGTGGACCGTAGCTATATTGGGGCATGTCTACATTTCTACAGGAAATTATTTCAAAATAACTAAATTTGAAATAACTCCAAAATAACAAAATCAAAACAGAAGGCCCCCACTATGGGAGAGCCTCCAAATTAGTCAGAGACAGGCTCCATTGTTGTGGACGTGCTACCTTGACTTAGAGAACCAGGAAGCACTGGGGAGCGATTACTTTGAATGACTCTGGGGAGTAGTTATCCCAAAATAGCAGCAGCCGAGTGACCACTCTACCGCTATTTTGAAGTAAGTGTTATTCCTCATGATGAGCAGGAGTTATTATTTTGAAATAATCAGCCCCTCAGGTTTACCTGGCTCCATACCCCCCACTGCTCCCATTAGCTGTGGTTCCGGCCAATGAGAGCAGCAGGGAAAGCCTCCAGGAGAGCAGTTTCCTATGCTACTGTTCCCCTAAGCCAAGAGGAAGGGGAGCGACAGCACACTAAGCCGCTTCCTCATCCCGCAAGCTGGATCCAGCCTGAGAGTCTCTTCCCCCTGCAGTGGGGAGCTGACGCTCCAGCCTCATGGGGTAGGGGAGAGACTGGAGCACTAACTCAGGTTATTTGCAAGATGGTCACAGATCACTTTGAGAACCACTGACCTATGACACTGGTTGATCAAATGTAACGAACAGAGAACTGTTTATTCCATTATGGCACTAGTGTGGAAAGGGATGGAAACTGATTAAAAACTTTCATTCCATCTCAACTGAGATTAGGGCTCTATTATACTATGCACCATATAACTGCCTAGTAAGGGACAGTCCCTGCCCCATGATTACACAAGACTAAGAGCTGGAGAAAAACTGTATTATCTCCATTTTACAGATGAGACATTGAGGTACAGTAAGATCAAGTTATTTGCTGAAGGTCACACAGGAAGTCTGTTGTAGAAGCTGAAAATTAATACAGATCTCTGGAGACCCTTATGGCCAATCTTCTTCATTCTCTTTCTTTCTTGCCCCGTAACAAAATGAAGTAAATTCTCACTGGTATAATCCTGTAGCAAGCTGCTTATCAGCCTGCAATGCAGGGGGAAAGCTCACCCGGAAGGCAAAAATGTCACCCATGTGAATTACAAATTTGCATTATTATAATGATTAGGTAGTAGCAATGCAAAACGTGATCAGTCTAGTTTCTCGGCAAATCATTCGCAATGAGAATGCCACTTACAGATTATACTGCGAGCAGAGAAATAGGCGAGGGTTATTACTGAAGAGCCCTGGAGGATGACGAGCTTGACTCAAAAGAAGAAAGTGAGTGAGCAGCAAGAGATTAATAGAGTCTAACTAGCAGCAGTAGGAACAGATGAGTGGGAGGAGAAAGAACGAGGACCACAAAGAAGGGTGTCATTGGCCCTGCTTAAAAAAAAATGGGATGAAGTTTTTAATCAGTTTCCACCCTCTTTGTCAAGGCTTTCCCAATCATCTCTAAGGGTTCGTCTAGAGAGCGGGGCTATTTATCCTGCCTCTTTGAAACGCACCCGTTATTTTGAAAAATATTTCAAAATAATGGGCATACTATTCCGGCATCCCTGTAACCCTCACTCCACGAGGATCAAGGGATGTCTCGAAATAGCACATTATTTCAAAATTTGGTGCTGTGTAGATGCACCCTAACAGATCAGGAACCAGCTGATTTAACAAGAAACAAGGGCAAAGGACACAAAGACACAGAGCAAAATAAATCTGGATTAAGTGACAGCTTGGCTCTTGAGGGAGAAAAGGCAGAGTGTCCTACCAAACAGGGCACTAGAATGGCTCTTCCCCTAATCAGTGCTTCAGTTTCCCCTCTTGTCTTTATAATAGGAAACAGTTTCTGGTCCAGCCAACACCCAATTAAGGATAAGTATCAATTAATATACTAGTTGAGAAGTCGATGGAATTTTCATTGGCTACTCGACTAGTCGTTAAGGAAGGGCGCTTTAAGCGCTCACTTCCAGCTCAGGCTGCATCTGAGCACAATTCCCGGCTGCTGCTCTGCACTCGTAAAGGGACAGAGAGGAGCTGGCTTGCAAAGACACTGGCTCATTCTCTGGTCTCTCGCTGGGTCTCAGGACAACCCTCACACTGCCACTCTGTCTGCTTGTCTGTCTCCTCTCTGTCCCTCTAAGAGCGCAGAGCGGGGGGAGGCAGGGGGTGGTGGTGACTGAATAGTCGATAAGCTCCTGCTTATCAAGTAGTACTATCGGGTAGTTGACTACTCGACTACTCCTCCACATTCCTACACCCAAGGGCAGTGTCTACACTGCACCCCTTTTCCGGAAAAGGGATGCAGATTAGACACTTTGGAATAGGCAAATCCGCGGGGGATTTAAATATCCCCCGCGAAATTTGCATTAACATGGCTGCCGCTTTTTTCCGGCTTGGGGATAAGCCGGAGAAAAGCGCCAGTCTAAACGTGATTCTCCGGAAAATAAACCCTTTTCCGGAGGATCTTTTATTCCTACTTGCCGGAAAAAAGCGGCAGCCATGTTAATGCAAATGCCGCGGGGGATATTTAAATCCCCTGCGGATTTGCCTATTCCAAAGTGTCTAATCTGCATCCCTTTTCCGGAAAAGGGGTGCAGTGTAGACACAGCCAATATGTTTGCACAACACATCTGTTATCTCAACTGGGGCCTCTGTGCTAACTCAATAAAGATGAGGTTATGAACGTAGCTAACAGACTAGTCACTCATCCTAGAGAGGGTAGCAGCTAGAACAGTTTTTGACAGAATGAATTTAGATATCAAAGCGGGGATATAGAAGAGACCGACAAAGGGAGTTAACCATGTAAGGGTCAAACCTGAGTCCCTAGATTTGAATTCAAGTCACCCAAAGAGAAGGCTTGAATGGGAAAAGGGGCTTTCAGAGTGTATGCATAAGAAATTCCCAAAGAAGGAAGAACAAGGAGAAGGGGATCCTGAAAAAGCAAACAGGTGAGCAAAAGAGAAGCATGAAATTACACAAGCACAAGGAACAGAGGGATGCAGCAGACGGTTGAAACCAGTGGAGACAGGCACTATGGAAAACTATAACAGATAAGATCCAAAAAGTAGGTCACTCTCATGAGGCTTTTGATTAAGGATGAGAGATGGCATAAAACAGAGTTTCTTACAGGCTCTTCAGAGAAAAATAAAAAACTTGCAGAAAACTTAAATGTGATTTAGCAAAACAGACAGACAATTTCAGAGATTAAAACTTTAATTTAAACTTTGCCAACAAAAAAAAAATGGTTACAAAAAAAGGGAAATTCCCCGTACAAAAAATTAATGAGTGCCTCCTTATAACAAGGAGAATCTGCCATTGTCAGTGTACACTCAAGTGCACGCAGGTCAAGCTGTAGGTCTTCAAATGGGAAATATAAAGTGTTCAACGTTAACTTAAGATTAGTTCAGAGTTCCAAATTTACAAGACTCCTGTCACCTTGGTCTTTGAACACAGTTTAATTCAAGAATCTTATGACAAAAACTTCTCTTTGCCTTGCAAACACAACAGACTTGTAGAGTCACAGAAGGCACTGCTCATACAGCATGCACTAGAGAGAAAAATTCACCTTTGTACAGAGGACACCACTTAACCACGCTGAACTCCCACTTGTGCTGTCCGTCACCACAGAGATGAATTTCAACCAGAATGCATGTAAACCATAACCTATGTGACAATCACTTAAACGGTCACTTGTCTTAGCAGTTAGATCCTGCTTCTAAAATGAAGACAACTGCTCTGGAGAAAGTGATTTACACATGACCAATTGGAGACCAGCTGCAACATGACTACTGTATGCATTATAGCTTCTGGACTGTCACAAGTCAGCATCACTAATGAGAATAGGTACAGTAGCATTTCCATCAGTGGAATCTTTCCACTTACCATTATTAAAACATAAATAGGACAAGGCAAGAGCATCTTTAAAACTTGATTACCGAAACTAGAATGGCTAAGTGAGTTTTGAACCTTTATATACCTACACAGCCATGAACACATAGCATGATCACCACTTCTTTGCATTCATCCATGAGCCAGAAGACCACCATAACTATGGTGTGTTAAGAGAAAATGCATCCTTCTGAAGCCAGTCACAGATAAAAGGACTTATTTGCTTATTTTCTTCCCAGGCTCAGGGTGAGTGGCAGTATTTAGAAATCTACAAGTTTAGTGCCAGAAAAAAAAAAACAGCAGTAATAACAACATTGTTACTTACTATTTTCATGGCACTATATAAAACTAACTGAACCTGTGTGGTAAGTATCACCCCCATTTTACAGACAGGACAACAGAGATATGGAGGCCAAATAACTTGCTCAAGGCCATATGGTGAATCAGTGGGAAGAGCCAGGATTAGAATTTCCTAGCTCCTAGTAATGTACACTGCTCACTAGAGCCCATTGGTTCATGATTACATTAGGAAAATGCTATAGCTCTCTATCAATCATTTCTCCCACTTCTTCCCAAGAGAAAAATAGAGTAACTGTGAAAAGAAGAACTGATTATAACAGCTTTATATAGTTTGTTTGACAATGAGAAAGGCCTTTAAAAAGCAATCAGTTCTTTTATTTCCAGTTTTGATTTAATTTCTTAAAATTTTTAAAGAGAATGCAGAAGTCTGTTTGATATAGACATAACTCTGCAGTCAAAACCCTTCACGTGAACACCCAAAATGTGATACTGTCTACTTGTAAAATAAGATTTTTGCTCTTTAATTTTGCAAATAAAATATAAACCCTGAAGCCAACTTTTTTTTTCAGATTTCAGGAGAGTTAGCAACAGCCATAATTTTGGTGTAAACACACGGAATCTTGTACATTACACCGACTGTTCAGAGAGAGACAGAGAGAGAGAGAGAGAGAGAGAGAGATCCACGAATATTGGTAACAGCTTTTTTCCCCCAATTTCTTATGGCAATCCTCTCTCCTCTTCCTGCAGTGCATAGGGTAGAATCTCTTCATCAATGTTGCATGACAAGAGAAAATAAAACTGCTTTCTTGAAATATAGTTAGATAATTGAATTAAAACTTCTGAAACTTTTAGTCTTGTTGTTATGAATGCAGTGCAGTAAGTTACTGCCATCTAAGAGGTTACTGAAGACTCTTGATTCCAAACATAAATATTGACGAATCAGCCTTTTCGTTATACAGATGGGGACATTACTTTGAGCCATCCTTTGGCCAGGGACTGGATTTTTAACTTCCATGTATCAGATGAAGAGAAACACAGACAAAACCCATCAGCATCTTCTACTGCATCAGAGAGGAGAGAGGTGGAAGAGACACACTATGACAGATGAACAGTACTAAAGGTGGCTTTTTTTTAATGGCAGTATTGAATTGAGCGCTAATTTCTAACCTGGGGTAAAATCTACATTTTTCTTCAAGAGTTCTTAGTTTTGTCATGCGCCAGAAAAATTCTTTAAGGGTCAACTCCAGAAGCACTGGAGAAAAGACTCAGTTCTTAAGCGCTCTGCACCAACAAACATTCCTATCTGCAGCAACTTTTTGTCAAAAGCAGCAGTGTTTCACTAGTCACCCAACCGAAAACCTTGGCCCCAGTTGTGTCTTCCACCACCCTGTTGATCTTCTGCAGCCCTTCGCACACTGGCGGGTGGAATACCAAATCCTGATACTCCTCCTCTCCTGTTTGGCAGCCATCGGTATCTGGAACACACATTTGGGGGCAGGGAGAAAAGGAGAGAAAGAGACCAAACGCTGAATATAGTACAATTACTCTTTAAAAATCATGGGCTTGAATCACAGCTCATTTTAGTTACTAAAAATTATAAAAAGTATAGCTTTTAATTTATACAGCCATCACATAATTTGCTTTACAAATATTAAGTCTCAATACCCTATGAAGTAGGTATCTTTAGCCCACCTAAAACCTCCCACAAGTTTTATTCTGTAAGTGGGTAGA